AAAAATTGCTAGCCGCTCAACCAATAGTAGAGCAAGCTAGAGACAATAAAAATAAAAATAAAAAAAAAGCATTCTAAAATTTAGGTACAACGACAAGACTAGAACAGAGAGAGAAAAAAAAGCAAAACAGCAAAACGAAACAAAAACATAAAGAGAACGAAGATCAAATAAGGTGTTTTGTCCCGGTCGTCACCCACTCGTGAAAGAGTCCATCTGAGATCCGACTACGAACTCTTAGCCACCGTCCGACCATACGAACAATCTTGTTCCCGATCTCTTGTGGGGAGGAATCAACATCTCTAAAAATTCTATTGTTTCTCTCCAACCAGATGAACCAAAGTACTGCATGGGGCAACAACTTAATGCATTCACTAAACCGTTGAACACACCACAAGCCTCGCCAAGCAATGAGGAAATCACGAGTGGAAGGAGGGTAAGGGCCATGAAGATCAAATCCCTTTCTGAAGCTTTCCCAAATCGTAACCGCAAATGGGCATAAGAAGAAGATATGTGAGATCGACTCCTCATGGCATTTGCAAAGAATGCACCAATTCGGAAGAATCATCCCTCTTCTTTTCAAGTTGTCCAAAGTAGAAATATTTTCATGATAGACCATCCACATGAAGCAACAGATCTTTGAGGGCACGACAGGAATCCAAACTAACTTGAAAGGAAAAGCAACGTCACCCCCAAAGTTATTCTCAATAAGGTTTGCAGTGAACGAATGTACCGAAAAGACCTCAAAGGACTCCAAAGGCCACACCAAGCGTGCAGGTCCTGTGGTAATCCATAGTTGCGGAAGATCACTCAAAGTTTGCATCAATAGGACACGTTCTGCTTCAGCGCCTCGCCTAAGAGAGACAGAGAGAGGAATCTCCCAAGACCTATCAACCATAGAAAACACGTCAGAAACAAAAGCATCCAAGGATTGGGCAACTGACCCAACCCTTGGAAAATCACTCACCAAAAGTTTCCCAGGAACCCAAGAATCATGCCAAAGAGATACCCCATAACCCCCACTAGGATCGACATAGGCAACCTTCCAAAAGTAAGAGCTTTCGTTAACTATTGCCCGCCACAAAGAACAACCGTATGTACCCAAATTCCAACATGGTCTCCACTCGGACCTACCCTGACCACACTTTGCAACAATCAACCTCCTCCACCACGAATTTCTCTCAACTCCAAATCTCCAATAGAGGTGGAGATTTAACCACTAATATTATTGTATCAGAATAAATTTTATTCAAACATTACAAAACCTTTAACCACTCCACTAAGCAATAACTTACTAACAAAAAGATGCAGGTAAATCCTACATAATGCTAATATCAAGCCAAAAACTTTATTACTATTAGTAAATTACGTTCTTGAATTATTTTTTATGAGTGTTGGTAAGAAGAGGAAGTATTATACCCTAAATAAATTGTTTTTATTTATCTGCTTGTTTATTTTTTAAAGTTTATATTTCCAAGTAAATGGATTCGTCAACTACGTATTTAATTAAACTAAAACAGATTTGTATTAATAAAAAATGAAATATTAACAAAATATTTAAATATAATCTTTAGATTGATCTAATTACCAAGATAATATTGTAAAATTCATGCTAGATAGGGAAAAAACAACTAGAGATGCAAGCATGCCCAATAGGGATATTAATTGGACGGGTTTCTATAAACCATCATATCTCCATTTCCAATTATTCAAATTCATACACACATATAGCTATATGAGGGAATATTTTACAACAGCATCTCCATACTCGCGGCTCTCATATACCCCGTCGGTAACATGACTCGTATAACATATTATTTTACCTAGAAATTCTTCAATTTTAATACTAAACAGATATAATAAATCATGAAAAAAGCAAGAACACAACCGTTATTTATATAAATTCAAAAGTACACAAGACAAAGTACAATACTATATAATTCATTCTTATCCGCCTTCGACACATATACTAAATAATAAATAAACAACATAATCTTGCTACAAAGGAAAGAAGTAAAAGAGTGAAGGACAAATTGAGGAAGGAATACGGGGTCGTTTGGATGAGGAATTCTAATGGATCAATCTGACACAATTGTCTCGTTTTGAGTCAATTGTGCTAGATTGATCCGTTTGGCAGCAGAAAATTTGGATGAAGCAATTTGGCTGGAGAATTCTGAATTGACTCATTTTGAGCCAATTACAATTGTCTGGGTGGGGGCAGGAAATCTGAATTGACTCGTTTTAAATGACTCGTTTTGTAAAATGAAACAATTGGTCAAATTATCTCGTTTTACAATTGATCCATCCAAATGACCTACATGATTTGGGTAGCCATTCAATTGTATTTTATATTTAATTCTTTTTGAATTGTCCTTCCTGCCATTGCCACGTTAGTCTCTGATCACCATATTTTTTATATGTAAAAAATATCTTTAATGGACCTAGGTATGGATACGAAGAGAGAGGCTAAATCAAATTCGCATCATCACATCAAATTTTTACGTATTTAGACCTACCCGTCCTATATTCAATCACTGTGATAATTTCTTGCTTTGGTTATGGTTGAGGGCGGTCCACATTCGTGGTTTGATTATCTGGTTAATTACATGGTTGATCACCGATATTACAAAAAAAACTTTCATGTTAGGTCACTAGAAATATTTAAATTCAATTTTCGTCACTTAAATTAGTTAAATGGTTCAAGTTTGGCCACTCTCCGTCCAACTCCGTTAAATTTGTCTGATGTGGTAGTCAACCTTCAAAGTTGACCGTTAACTCAGTGACATGACAATTAAAAAAATAATAAATAAAATAAATTTTAATCTTCTAATCATTTCCAACTCATTTTCACAATAAAGTAAAATAAATAAAACAAAAAAATTATGTTACATCCCACCTTTTTAAGACATGTAAAAGACATTTCTACCCCGGGGTATATTTAAAAAAAATTATTCATAAACACACTTAAAATAAATACACCAAACTTTAATAATTTGAAGTCTCAATGACAAGCCCTAAACATGTGGGCAAAACTCCAAATCATATTCTTAAAAGAATCAAACGACCAGAATCTCCAGTTCTTAACTTTCAACCACAAAGTCCAAATAACTTAAAAGTTTTGCCCAACGCTTACTCTGATGCTTGGTCCGCCATGCTTTAACGACGCTGATGTTGAGCCCCTCTAACCTGTTGCCCACGAACTATCTGATCTTGATCTCCTCCTCTACGATCTGGTGAGTGAGTTGGGGTCAGTCTACGCCATTACTTAAACTTGAACCACTTACGGATTATTACCTTAAGTGTTCCTCAAACAATAAATTAGTGGAAGTTGATTATACTTTCGCCCTTTAAACTTTAACTCTTAAAACGTGGGATTTACTCTTAACCCCACTCTCAAAAACTTTAAAACTTTGACCGACACTGGGATCCCCCACTAGCTAGTCCGGTTGCCCAACTCATACGTATGAGAGCCCATGCAGGCTTACATAAACTTAAACTTAGTTAGGGGAGTCGCAACAATTCCCTAACATCTTATACTTATCATGGTGGCTCTTCACCATGATCCTCAAGAGCATAACTGCTGCTCATCTTAAAAGTCTTAAGAGCATAACTGCTGCTCATCTCAAAATCTCATATGGGCAACGGACTGGCGCTAGCGACTAAAAATTCTTAAAACTTTACACCTTCCTTGAAGGTGTTGTACTCCTTAAAAGTAACTTACTGGTAATTAAATACATGTCATCAACTGTATGACTGGAAACATAACTTACACGTAATATCATGCATCACGTAAACATACATAAGCATATATGACACGTAGTAGCAAATCTCAAACGAAATTACCGTAAGGTAAATACTTGGAAATATGTAAGGCGTAGATTTTACCCCCTTTAAACTCACCTCTTGTGGCGATTACTTAGTTCCCTTGATGTGGAACCCTTACTCCGATTGCTACCTTAAACCTATAATTTAAACGTATATCCTTTTAGTCGATACTGCTCAATTTATCACCTTTAACTCACTAAAAACTATCCTCCTTAAATCTATAATTTTATAATATCAAAACGTCATTCTAGATTCTTGTAAAATTATCAAATGGGTCAGGAGCCTTCTTTTACTATTTTAGTTAAATAAAACCGTCCTTAGTTTAATTTTTATAAATATTAAATCACCTCTTAAAATCTCCAAATTTATTATGAGTAACCTTATTGCACCCTAGTTACGTATAAAATTATCAAACATACCTAAGTCGCTTATACAGTATTTTAATTTTCTAAAACCGATGTTCTACGAATTTTTAGAATTATAAATACAGCTCATAAAATTCTCCAATTATTATCCAGTCATCGAAATAATATTCTCTAATTTATAAAATTATCAAATCATAAAAATATTCACTGAAACGCGTCGGAAGTAAACATGTCCATAGGAAAATACTACTTTCGGTCAATTGTCAAAATTTGAAACGTAGGAGACCAATCTGCTCATACTAAAAAACATGGGGGACTAATCTAGATATTTTCTCGCAGACAGGTACCTGCACGTTTCAGCTCACGTCTCAAACTTTCGTAGCTCCGTTCTCCCTCGTCTAACGTCGAAATTCGATTTCGTCAAAACGGTGACGATCCTGGGATCGTCCTCTTCACGATGGTACCAAGGTTTTGAAGTTTGGTCGAGGTCGACCACGCCGGAGCCTCTGTCGAAGTTACGACCATTATATACATGGGTTTGAGTTAGTTTTGATCGAAATCAAATACGGAGATCGATTGGGATGAGTACTCACCCTCAAAGCAAGCCTAGGGTAGATACGAGCTGTTGAACCACAGTTTATCGCTTAGATCATCCTTTGATCACCTCGTACTGTTGTCGCCGCAGCTACGACGCAACAACCATAGTTAGCTAATTATGTAGCTTCGAGGCTTGAAAAGGGTTTGGGATTCATAGCTCTTACCTACTGGTCTCGAGAACATTCTTTAAAACATAAAAAGTGACTACGCTTTATTGTCACTACTGTACATTATTTTGTCGTTTTGTGGCAAATGCTAAAGGCCTTTTGGTGAACCTCTACGGCGGGCGTCCTCCCACGGCACACATGCGTCGTCTCTTTCGGACCAGCCCACCTCTGTCTATGACACTCAGCCATGCTTTCCGTAACTAAAAATTCGTTTCCTCCCTGTTGCCTGGCCCGATCCCAAACGAGCTTCCCATAGCCTCTGCCACGTCTCATCAGTTGCAGATAAGCATGCTTTCCCATATCACAATCTCAACCACAAAATCTACATTGGCACGCCACCCCTTCAATTATCTCCCATCGGCCCATCCCCTTACTACTTTGATTTGCTTCTAAACATTGCAACCTCTGCAAACCTACTCAACCACTTCGCCGCCCATTCTTTTCTACATCGGCAAAGAATAAGAGGAAGGAAGGAGGAGGAGAACAAAAACCCTCCCAGCTCTCTCTCTCTCTCTCTCTGTGTATGGAAGGAGGAGAAGAAGAATCCGACGAAGAAAAAGATCTCACACCTTGCTCGAGTTCATCTTATTCTACAAACTCATCTATAGATTCCTCTTTCCCTCTAGGTACTTCTTCTTTGCTGAGTTCCCTCTTTTTTTTCGTTTGTGATTTCCCTCTAGATACTTCTGATTTGTTGACTTTTTTTTTTTTTTTTTCCGTTTGTGATTTAGTGATCATGGTTCGGATCCGTATCTCTCCATCTCGAACAAGGAGTGGTTTCGACAAAGAGAAACCAGTTTGAAAAGGGTCTCTTGAGCTATCTTTTCTGGAAATGGCAAGCCGTTGCAGCATTCATGAGTGGTTGGGGAGGGAACGACAAGTAGCAGAGAAGGATGAAGGAGGTTCTGCATTATGCATTTTTCCTTGGCGAGCCATTTGTGGTTTGACCTCATTCATTACTGGTTATCAATTTGCGGAAAACTTTCTCAGATTGGCTGAATCATGTTGAAACATATAAGAGGTACTGATTTGTCTTCTGCTGAATCAGGGTCTGAAGCTTAAGAAATTCCATCCCCTAAGGCACTTAAGGACGGCCTACTCACATCTGTCCCTATGATTAGTTGTTTCTAGATTAGGTTTATTATTTTATAGTTATAACTGATAGTGGTACTTGGGTAGGGTTTTGAACTTGAGGTTCCTCATGAGCAGATGCAACATCACATAATTCTATTTGTGATGTGATCTGCAGGCTGGGTTGGATGAGGAAGTAGCAATAGTTGAGCTAGAAGATTCTGGTTAGTAGCTTTGGAATTCTGGACTTCTGAGATTCTGAATTTTGTGTTCATGTTAACCAATTATAAGCTTTACTTTGTACACCCATTTGCATGCTCTCAATTCTTAGCTTTACGATTTTTGGAATCTCATTTTTCACTAGGGAGTAGGGACTAAGTTGGCACTGCCAGTAGTCTTCTACACAACCTGCATTCATATCTTTTCTCATGCCTTTTCTGTGATATCTACATTCCCTACAACCAATGTTTATGATGTTTACTACAACTTCAGTTCAGTCTTCCACATTAATACATAACCCATTAATACATAATTGCAGTGCATTCCATAACATGTTCCTAATTGAAAGATTATAATATAATTGAGTAAGGCTCTGATCAAGTAATATGCAAAAGACCCGTTTAATGAGTTGTTTCCCAATGCAAACAGATAGAGGGTCTGGAAACGCTTCTGCTGCAAGGACCAACCAGCCAATGAGAGTAGGAGAAAGCTAGAAACTGACCAAAATGTTGACCGGATAGCTTTAGAAGTCGACATTGGACAAGCACCCAACTAACTCGGCTGAAGTCCTGGCTTAAATGTTGCTTAACCACACCAACTCTATTACTTGAATTTCCTTCTTTATGATTGAGCTTTCAGCAAGTTAGACTTGATTCACATTATTGGACTTGATTCACATTTTGTTTCTTGGTTGATCTACATTTTCTTTTCCTGCATTTTTAGGTTCAGATCGTTGGTTCAACACCCACATCTATGTGCGCCCATTCAGATGTTTCAATATTTAGTGATCTAACAAAATTGCTTCTAGAAGATCTAAACATCCAATCAGCTAAATACAACCTCAACCCTCAGCTAAACACGCTCTGCGGCATAGCCGCTGGTATTGATTCTAAACTCTCCATTGCTGACCTCTGTTGTTCCTTTTATGTATGTTACGTGTTGGTGCATAATTAACCCAATTGCTTGGTTTGTCTTTCATGCTGTTCAGTTCAAGGATTGCCTGAGGCAAGGAGATTAATAGAGCATCGAAAGGTATGAACAAGGTTGGAACGATTAGTAAGCTGGATGTTTGGTTTCTCAAAACTCAAAGAAATGTTGTTTCATGCCTAAATATCCTTATGTTCAAATTGTAGCTCAGGTGGAACACATTCTGGTCTCCAGACATGATCAAGAAGTGGTCCAGTCGTCTTCGGTAAGTGCCATCAGTTTGTATGTAGTCAATGAAATAGTAGGTTGTTTTTTCATATCTTCATTTCATTAGTAGAGAATGTTTAATTATTCCACTTTCTTATAGGCTCTCTTTATAAATAAGCAGATGATGAATCATAATGGATCTCATTTAAAATTACCATTGTAGTAATGATGTGCTTGATTGTCGATATACTTATCCAGGAGCTCAAGCATATGGTTCATGTTCTTCTGGAATACAACAATTAGTTAGGGTACGTTGACACATAATTCTTCATTTGATTCATGAGCCTTTCTTCTTACCTTAGACTGATTTGCTTTGTGCGCAAGTAGTTATCGAATTTTTCAAGCTGGTTTTTTCGCTACTCATTCGGATGATGATCTTATTTCATGGATGTACCATTTAAAACAAACCAACATGATGTTAACCTCAACTCAATCATCACATCTTCTCATTGAACCTTTTCTGGTCTGTAGAAGTCAGGAATGGAAATCTGGAAGGACAGTTCTAAGTCACACAATTGCACGAGGCCTGCATCTGTAGGACGAGTTCCCTAATATTCTCTCATTGTCGTCATTGTTGGCTGTCACCACACTTGGGACCTATGATATTGCTCTGGAACTGTGAAATCATCATTGATGGATGACCTGAACTTGATAAAATCCATTTGTCAGTCTATCTTTCATGTGTAATATTTGGTTAACAGTTGTGTGTAATGCTTTGCCCAGTAACAACAGTGTTTATGCAATGTAGTCCTCGGTGTAAATTTAGAAACCAAATGAAGAGTTTACATGGGGTTAAGTCAACTCTTTAGACTTTATGGTTTGTAAATCATTATGATTGTGAGTTTTCTTGCATAGCAGGGATGTCCAAGTTCGTTAGCAAAAAATATGGAACTTGCTCTATGTTTATAGTTTCTAAGTATTTTCGTTAACACTGCATTGCTTTTAAATAGTACTAACTCGGCTAAATCTCCTGCGGCGTAAGCCGCGGGTGTTTATACTAGTATGAAGGAAAACACCGCTAATTTTGTGCCCTTCTCTAGTAACGACGATGAACGGTGGTGTGGCGGGATGATGACGAGATGGATGAGTGCTATTGTTTTACTCGGCCTCCTCCTGCTAGCTAGTAGTGGTGACGATGATGATTGGGCAAGGAGGCAAAGGCGCTTTAGCTTCTGGTGGTGTTTGATTTTCTTGCGGATAGATGGAGACAATTTGTGATGGTGATAGAGATGAGTAGGTAGCAGTGATGTTTATTTGAACAATGAGAAATGGGGGGTTTTGGATACGAGATGCAGATGGATGGCTTTCTCACACTCTTTTCTCTAGGTTTAATTTAAGGACCGAGAGAGAGAGGCTAGTTGATATGGGTTGTCTAGCAGTAGCTAGCTGTCTCTAATAATAGAGGTTCACGAGCTGATGGGATAAGGGGAAATGGGGGGTGTAAAGGACTTGTTGGGTGGTTAGTAGACAGATGGGTGTAAATGAGATCAATACAATTATGCTAGGAAGGTAATTTGTGAAAGGCTACTTTAAGTGTGATTTGGGGTGGCTGTAACGAGTGGAGTGAGGTTAATTCTCCCCCTTTGTGTCGGTGATCATCAAGATTATATAGATGTTCTGTGTTATATCTGTTCACTCTAAAATGTTCTCCCTGTCGATACGATCGCGTGGCCGCAAACGGCTCGTTATTTCGACGTCAAACGAATAAGATACGTTCGTTTTAGCTTTCGGTACGCAAACGTTACTCTAACGATAGGTTCCACTTTGGACTAACTTATCTCACTCGTTTGGACTCGGAATTAAGATCTGTAAAATTCTAAGTGATCGTAGAATAATTTCTTAACTTAGAGTGTCGAGCTTAGATACTGATTATTAAGAAATTGACCCAGAATATTCTTACTTAAAATGTCATCAATCAATAGTTTCAATCGCAACTTACTCGCGTAGGAATGGAATTCTTGTTTTCCTCGTTAAATTTAGTTTGTTTATAAATTTCTCGATGTTTGGGGTGTTACATTTCCTCCCCACTTAAAAAAAATTTCGTCCCCGAAATTGAAACGTTTATACTGGGATATAACATTTCCCTCCCTCATAAGGAAAATTTCGACCTCGAAATTATGTTCTGAACAACGTTGTTAAACATGACGAAACAAACTGAGTCATCATAACTATTGTTACGACGTATTGATAATTGCCATGAAATGTCAATGAGGCTTATAATAACTTCTCTAAACGCTTTTAAACAACTCGGGATATTTTTCTTTCATGCTACTCTCTGTTTCCCAAGTTGCAGCTTCGCTGCCCTGATTCCTCCATATCACCTTAACCAGAGTGATCTTCTTCTTCCTCAGCATCTTCTCTTTTTTGTCTACGATCTGAACTGGCACCTCTTCATAGGTCAGGTCGTCGTCTAGCTGGATATCCTCATGTCTGATCACATGGTCAGGGTTAGACCGGTAGGCCTTCAGCATGCTGATGTGGAAGACGTTGTGAATTCTTGCAAGGTTAGGAGGTAAAGCTAATCGATATGCGAGGGGTCCAACACGTTCCAACACCTCATATGGTCCAATGTACCTAGGACTCAGTTTCCCCTTTTTACCAATCGCATCACCCCTTTCAAGGAGATACTCTTAGAAATACCATATCTCCCACTTCATGACTTCGTTGATTTCCTGGCCTCTCAGAGTTACTTTTCTGCCGGTCCTGAGCCGCCTTCAAGTTCCGACGGATTGCCTCGACCTTCTCTACTACCGCCTTCTGAACCATCTCTGGACCCTCCAGCTGTCGCACTCCTTCTCCATCCCAGTACAGTGGTGTTCGACATTTTCTCCCATACAACACTTCATACGGAGCCGCTTGTATCGAGCTATGATACTGGTTGTTATAAGCAAACTCATTAGAGGTAAGTGCTCGTCCCAAGCTCCTCCCATTGTCAAAACACATGCCCTTAGCAGGTCTTCTAGTGTTTGAATTGTCCGTTCTGATTGTCCATCAGTCTGGGGATGATATGCGGTAGAGAAGTGCACTTTAGTGCCCATAGCCTTTTGAAGACTCACCCAGAATCGTGCCGTGAAGCTAGGGTCGCGATCAGACACAATGCTAAGTGGGACTCCATGAAGCCTTACTATCTCTCTCACATACCATCTAGCCAGCTCTTCTAGCCCTGGTTTGAATCTGATAGGTATAAAGTGAGACACCTTCGAGAATCGATCCACAATTACCCATACTCCATCGTTTCCCCTCGGGGTCTTGGTAAACCATATACAAAATCCATAGTGACCTTCTCCCAAGTCCACTGTGGAATTTCAAGTGGTAAGTGCTCAATAACTGGGGCTTGGTGCTCAGCCTTTATCATTTGACACTCCAAGCACTGATATACATGAGCGGCTACCTCCTTCTTCAACCCTGGCCACCAAAATGTTCCTTGAGGGTACGGTACATCTTCGTAGCCCCGGGGTGCATCGCGTATGGTGCAGAGTGAGCCTCGTCCAGAATATCCTTCCTTAGCTTGTCAACACTTGGCACACACAACCTCCCTTGATACATTAGTACTCCATCTACCAGTTCAAATTTGGTGTTCTTCCCCTCTAACACTTGCTTCTTGTACTTCTCAAGCTCCATATCCTCACCCTGCTTCTCCTTGATTCGTTCATGTAGCATAGGACGAACCTTTAAGGTTGCTAACAGTTTCGTCACTTCCTCTAGCTCCAACTCCACGTTCATGGCCCTCAAGGAGATTAACTCAGTAAGGGACTCTCTTTCTTCCTACTCAACGCATCAGCCACTACATTTGCCTTTCCTGGATGATACTTGATAGTGCAGTCGTAATCACTTAAGAGTTCCATCCATCTCCTCTGCCTCATGTTCAAACTCCTTTTGATCAGTCAAGTGTTGGAGGCTTTTGTGATCCGTTGAAGATGTGAACGTCTCGCCGTAGAGATAGTGTCTCCATAACTTCAAGGCGAAGACTACTGCTTGCCAACTCTAAGTCATGGGTCGGGTAGTTCACCTCGTGGGTCGTAGTTGTCTCGAAGCATAAGCGATCACCTTCTTATCCTGCATCAGTACACAACCCAAGCCTTGGTACGAAGCATCGCTATAGATGGAATACTCCCCACCACTGGTCGGTAGTGCTAACACTGGTGCAGAGGTCAGCTTCTCCTTCAGTAACTCAAATGCCATTTGACACTTCTCATCCCAAACAAATGGCTTCCCCTTCTGCAATAGTTGTGTCATAGGTCTTGCAATACTGGAGAATCCCTCAACAAACCTCCGATAATAGCCAGCTAATCCCAAGAAACTCCGCACTTCAGGGACATTTTTGGGTGGTGCCCAATTGGTGACAGCCTCTATCTTCTTGGGATCTACTTCCACTCCACGGCCCGAATAATTCCACCTTGAATAGGTGCTAATTTATTAGACCAACGAGTCATGAAGACTCGTATGCATCATGGTCAACCTCTTTGAGAATAGACATGGAGACTCGTACACATTTCTACGATATTTATTTTTCTTTCGATTCAATAATCATACGGATAAAAAAGTGACATAGCATATATTTAGTAAATTAACAACTCTATTAGGTTTACTAAACAATCTTAGAACGGAAGCTTTGGCATAAGAGGCGATATTTATTAATTGAAAGACAACGTAACAATTGATCACTAATTAGGTAAGTCTCAATTCCAAGTACTTTATTCTAGTGAATTACCTGTTATCATCGTATACAACCATAAAGTAAAAATTATGGACTGTATTTTTCCCGTAAAACAATTGTAGGCAATAATATTTTTTTATTCGTTCATCTCTTCAATAATAAAAGCTCTTCCCTTAAGTATGATAAATCCAATAAATTTTCCGCAAAAATAGCTCTTTGAGAATCTCCGAACCCATAAAAAGATCTCAACTCTACCTATTCTATATCAATATAAAATTCACTACTATTAATCCAATCTTTCCCATAGAATAAAAAACCTTCATCTGCCGAAGTCCTTCTTCTGCAAAACCCTGCTTTTGTTCCATCGTCATCTCCTGTTCCTAGATGCCATCCTTGTTACCGTCAATCTCAAGACTCAAGTACACTGCTCTCTCGATTGAAGTTTTTGTTAGTGTTGACATACTGTTAATTAGGTATTGTACAAATCTTCTTCCTAAAACTAATATTATTTTCAGAGTTTTATTCCACATGCTCTTCTTCCTGGGATACGCATTAACTAATTCAAGCAACTACTCCTATCGTCTTCCCCTTATAACAATGAAGCTTTGTTTTGATAGGAATCATGAGCTCCGGTTATATTGCTTACTCGGCCAAAAGGGCAAGGGAAACTCAAGAACGACAAGCCAAATTGATGAATTCTCACAGTGATGAGATAAAGATCCCAATCGATAGATGAAGTATATCATTCCGATGAGACTCATAATCAGTCAGAAGAACTGCGTGCAAGAATCTCCATTCATATTTTTATGACCATAGTTTTTGTCACTAAATGAGTTATATGTGACAAATTTTATGTAAAATGTATTGTGTTACGAGTCAAATCCACACCATTGTTGTATTCTGTAATGACAATATTTGTCACAGAAATCACTTTTTGTGACAGATCAAATTTACACTAATGTATACTATTTGGTACAATGCACAATCGTCACCATTATTGTCATACGTGACAAAAAAAAACTACAATGTATCATTATCGTAACTTATGTATCATATATCATCACTAATATATACTACTCTTACAATGCATAGACTTCACAAATAGTGTCAGGAGTGACTAAAACATTTATCACAGAAGTGTGCTATTGTGACAGTACCACTGTCGCAAAAACCTCCTTTTGTGATAAAATGATGGCAAAAAAAGGAATCGTTTGTGACAACTAAAAATGGTTACA